CTCCTGCTCTTCTGGCCTGCTTCTTTGGGTGTCCCTGAGTTTCCCCTCCTCACCTAATCCCTTCAGCTGATTGCTCTTCTCTTTGGCTCCCTGGGTTTTACCCCTTTCTCCTGCTCTTCCGGCCTGCTACTCTGTGCTACGCCCGTGCTTACCTTGCTCCCGGAGACCCGGTCCCTCTCTGGTCATTAATTAAGAAATCTTATTCTTCACGTGGAGGTGTACTATGTACAAATATAATAAAATGTGGGAAATTCCTGTTTTGATTCAATACAACTTTCAGTGGCAGCTTCACGGAAGCAAGTTAGTTTTTAGGCTTGCCATTTCTAATTTAGTCATAGAACATCCCAAAGGTCAGTTCCAGAAGACAAAGTAAAGTATTATAATGTAACGTGCAAAGACCTGGTGTTAGAAAATCCAAAGGGAAGAACACGCTCATTTCTCAAGCTGAAGGAATTGAAGAGAAAATTCAAACCTGAAGTTGCAATAGTGAAGGATTCTATGGGCAAAATATTGACTGATGCAGGAAGCATCAAAAGAAGATGGAAGGAATACACAGAGTCACTGTACCAAAGAGAATTGATCAATATTCAGTTCATATATAAATATATTAATTTATTGAACATTTACTGAGGGATTCCTGTGTGCCAGGCACTGCAGAAAGTACAGATAATATGAAAATGAATAAGATACGATTTCTACCCACAAAGAGCAGACTGGAGGAAAATACAGATATATTGTGATGGTTGTACAACTCTGTGAATATACTAGAAACCATTACATTGTACAATTTAAATTAGTGAATTGTATGGTATGTGAATTATATCTCAGTCAGTACTATTGAGAGAAACCAAACCCCAAAACAGTTATAATTTTTGATACTGTACAAAAACCAGGAAGAGGTGGCCAACCCAGCATAGTATGTGAGGGAAATAAGGCTTTACCTGAGTATTTAAAAACAAAGCAGGTATTAGTTAGGTGGTTGGTGTAAGATACTCCTAGCCAAGGGGACATAATGAACAAAGTCATGAAGGAGAAAGTATGTGCGTGTGTATGCTTGTGTGTTGGGGTGGGGGTTGGCCCTGAGTAGGCTGAAGCAAGACAGGAAGGAGCTTCAGGGATGTTTAGTCACTGGAATGTTTTATTAAAACTGTGAAATGATGTAATCCGTGATCCAAACTGAAAACTAAACCCGTTGTCTTGGAGTCATTCTCACTCATAAAGACCCTATAGGACAGCGTGGAACCGCTCCGTAGGGTTTCCAAGGCTGTTATGTTTCAGACTACCACGTCCTTCTCCCGCAGAGTGGCGGGAAGGTTAGCACTGCCGCCTACCTTTCGGTTAGCAGCCAAGCGTCTGACCAATGCGCCACCAGAGCTCCTAATCCGTGATCAGATTTTAGATAGTCCACACTGACAGCTGTGACGTAATGGAAAGTCCACAGCTTTTTTTTTTTTTTAAATCGTAATAACTTGTGCGTAGGTAGCCAATCTGCAGTTTTAAAACTAGAGGAGTTATATAAACTTGAAGTATTATTAGCCAATTGATCTTAATCGCACAGTTTGCCTGCAGGGGAGAAATGTAGGGCAGATTAATTTAAAACTGACATACAACTACGTTGATCTTGCACTGAGTTAAAAAGAAATTTTTGAGTGGAACAACTCCCTTAGCTGGTGGCGTAAAGCCCGGCGAGTGTATTTTCGTATCTTTATAAGGCTAGAAACGTGTCGGCAGAAACTTAAGGTGATTCTTCAGGTTTTCTGTTTTTCCTGCATTTAGAAGGGTCCTTGGTACTCTCGCAATGTACTAAAACTATCATTCTGAGTACACCTGCAGGATTAAAAAGAAGGATAAAATAGTTACGGCTTCGCCAACAGGACATTTGCTAGGAACAGCTGGCTTTCCTGAAATTAGTAATGCTGTCTGCCCGGAACCACGAAACGGAAGGTCCCAGGCAACACAGAGACTGTGGCACCGCCACGGGGCGCGGGCGTTGTGCGCCTAGCACTGTCGCGCCTTCCCGCCCCCACTTCCTCTCTACGTCTCGGACCCTTTCTTCTTGTTCTTTCTAAACCTTCCCTTTCCGCCAATTCTGGACCGGAACCCTTTTTTAAAATTCTTGCCAGTTGAAGCGTAGGACCAATTTCATCCACACAATCCGGGATCGTCAACATGGCGGCGGCCTCTAGATGCCTCAGTAGAGGTAAGTCTGGGGGTTCCCTTGGGTTGCGAGGAAAATGATTCTGGTGCGGAGTTCCCTATTATAGCAAACTGCAACAGGACTTTTCTAAGCATGCGTCTGCACTGGTGGCCCGAAGTGCTTCCTGTTCTTTTTGGGTTCTGTGCTCTTCAAATGATCTTCACTATTTAAAAGCGACCTTATCAGGGGTTTCTGTCCTTTCTGGAGCCGTACACACTAAGGCGGTGCGGGGGTGGTGGTGGTGGTAGAAAAATGGGAGGGAGATGTACGTAGACACACCTCTAGCTATCCGTTTGAGAGGAGGTGGAGACAGGGTTCTATAAACGGGGGAGTAGGCTGAGGGAAGGAGTTTGATACGTGAAGCAGTGAGTTCTGATAATGGAAAGATAGCATATTTTGATTGGCTTACATCTGTAAACTTTAATGCAGTAGTTTACAAAGTTTTTTTTTTTTTTTTTTTTTTTAATGTTATTGTGATTTGGCTGAAAGTTTACAGGGCAAATTCATTTAACACTCAACACATTTCGTTTCATGGCTTTGATAGCAATCCCCATGATTTAACAGCTCTCTCTTCACACTTCCTTTCTGTGGTTACCTTTTCTCACTGCCCTTCTTTCCTATGCATTCCTACCCTCTGAGCTATCTTCTGTGCAAATGCTGCCCTTCTGATCTCCCACGGTTAATTGTGTTAAGACGTGTATCTACCTGGCGTAAATGTTCACCTTGTAGGCCTGCCTATTGTTTGGCTGGAAGTGAGTTAAACTTAAGGTTTGAAGGGTGACTAGGGGTCATAGTCTCATGCAGTCTCTCTCAGACAAGTAAGCCTGGTATTTTTTATGATTTTGAGTTTTGTTTCACATTTTCTCTGGCTCTGTCTCCCTATTCTGATCCCTTTCCAAGTTGTTGACCATGGTAGCAGGGCACCATGTAGTTCTTATGGTCTCAGGTCATAGGTTACAAAGTTCCTGCTGATGCTTTTGGAGTTCATCCTTGCAGGCCATCCCAGTTCTTAAATTATCAGGCATTGACTAATTTGGATCAACAGTTATCACTGGATGTTAATGCAGTAGTCCTTCTTCATAGCAGTTCTTTTCAGTAATTAATAAAGTCAAATGTGTTAGCTAGAATAGTAGCCTAAAACCCTGGGTACAGTGTTCTTTGTTTTTGTTTTTGAAGCACTGATACATATTATTATTTAATTAAAGAAGCTTTTTAGTTATAGGCAGAAGTCAACTTCTCTTGCATTTTACAGAGAAAGAAATTGATCCTGTATGGGGCCATGGCCATGTAACTGGTAACTGGCAGAGCCAGGACTCAAGCTTGCACTCCTAGGCCAGTGATTTTCTATACTACATCACAGTTTTTTCTTTGAACTTCTTACAGGAAATAGGATCCTCTGTGTGAGATAGTTGTGCAGATAGTGGTGCCAAGAGATCAGGACAGACCCTAAAGACTACCAAGTGAACAAACCAAAATGCATATCTTGCTTAAAAGTGATTGATGACATTATCTTCATATATGATAGAAATAACATAAAAAATCAAAGAAACACAAAAGGAAAACTGGAGGTTATCATTCCCTTCTTGCCACACTTTGTTCTCCTAGTTTCCTGGATTCCTCCCTCTTTTAATTTTCTTCCTTTCTCACTGATCATTCTTTCTCAAATTACTTTGCTAGTTCCTTCTCCTCTCAGCAGTGTCTTATCTTGGAGTGCTCCAGACACGAGGATTCCAACCATTATCCCCATGTCTTCTATATCTAGGCTCACTCAATCCAGATCTTGTGGCTTTGACTACTGTCTTTATCTTTACTCTCAAATTTATATGTACAGCTGGGACCCCTCTCCTGAATTTTAGATTCTTATATCAATCTGCTTGTTCTAGATCTCCATTTGAATATCTAATCAGCACCTCTCACATGTCTAAAATTGAACTCATTATTGTAGCCTGTAGTCTTCCCCATTTTGGTTGATGGCAACTCCATTCTTTCAGTTGCCTAGGCCAAAACCTTAGAATTGTCTTTGACTCCTCTCTTTTCCTCACATTTCACATTAAATCATTTGGCAAGTCCAGCTGGATTTATCCTCAAAATAAATAAAAAATCTGACTTCATTTCACTCCATTGCAACTACCTTGTTTCAAGCCACTATAGTCTCTCACGTGGATTTTTTTAGTCTGCTTTCAACAAGAAATGAAATTGGGCCTTTAATAACTTAAATTGTATTACACCTATGATCAGAACTGTGTAGTGCCTCCCCTCCTCTTTTTTGTGAATCCATGGTCCCTGTAATAGCCTATAGCTGTGCTAACCTTTTTGGTATCCAACATTGAGCACTGGAAATGTGACAAATCCACATTGAGTGTGGAAAATACACACTAGATTACAAAGACTCAGTATGAAAAGAAGAATGTATAATATCTCATTTGTTTAATACTGATAACATGTAGAAATTATAATAAGCACTTGGCTGCCAACCAAAAGGTTGGTTTGAACCTACTCAGTGGTTTCATGGGAGAAAGACCTGACATTCTGCTCCCTTAAAGATTACAGCCTAGAAAACCCGATGGGGCAGTTCTGCTGTGTCACATGGGGTCACAATTCTGTGAGTCAGAATTAATTTGATGGCACCTAATAACAACATGTGTAATAAAATATTTTTTATTATTAATTTCACTTTTTGTTTTTACCTTTTTTTGTTATGGCTATTAGCAAATTTAAAATTATACATACGGTTCACACTGTGGCTCCCATTATACTTCTCTTGGACAGCATTGGGTTAGAGTCTTCTACATCATCTGGTGCCTGCCTTTCTTCTCCCATCCCACCTCCCCAACTTACCTCTTTGAATTCTTTGGCCACCTTCCTTCTTATTCCATCTGCTCTGGCCACACTGGCCTCTTTGCAGCTTTGGGACCTTTACCCTGGTTGTTCCTTTTGCCTGGAATACTTTTTTCCTAGATATTAGCATGGCTACCTTTCTTATTTTCTTTAACTTTTTGGTCAAATATCACCTTTTCAATGAGGGCTATCTTAACCATCTTATTTAAAAATGCAGCCCACATTTCCCCTGACTCTCAATTCTTTGACACATCTGTCCTATTCTCTCTACCACCATATTACATTTATTCGTATCTTCTACTCCACTATATAAGCTCTACAAGCACCTTCTGAAGAGTGGCTGCTGGGTTTGAACCATCAACCTTCTGGTTAGCAATCAAATGCCAACCCATAAATAGTTGTTGAACAAATGTTTGAATGGCTCATCAAAAAAAAAAAAAAAAAAGCCTTCCCCTTCTAAGTGCTGTAATTGATAATATTTAGAGTGATTAGATTTCAGTTTTTGCTTTCAGTTGCTGAAATTTTCTTCATTTATACAGCAGATGTTTATGAGTCTCCATTTACCAAACACTGTAGAAGGTGTGGAGGAGACAATGGTAAACAAGCTATGCACATTCCCTGCCCATGTGCTTATCATTTATTGAGGAACAGACATTAATTGCATAATTATGTCTTTAATTATGATTCTTAATGCTGTGAAGAGAAAGTACAAGGTGCTACAAGAGTGTATTTGAAAGATTTACACCTACTCCTTACTTATTGACTGTCTTATTATATAGCATTTCACATTTATGACAACTTTGAATAAATTCTCAGACCTCTGATAGTCTGGGCCCCATGTGGGGCCATGGCCAGGCCTGGGGAACCATCCATGGGCCACCCTCAATGATTTACCAGAGGCCCTGGTGATGACTGGGCCACATGAGGTTTGGTGGCTGACCAACTATGGAATACCTTCTTCCTTTCATCTGTAATATCTCAGTCCAGCTGTGGAGGGCACAGTACGATGGTGGGATGACATGAGGTTGCGAGCAAACAGGGGGAAGCCAGATGAGGGCCTAAAGGTACTAGGGAGGTCAATGAAGGAAAAAAGATGGGGGCTGCACAGGGCTGTGGAGCTGGGACTGGTGGAGGACAAGTGAGGTCCCTACCCAGGGTAGGCACTGGGAGCCAGTGAGTGGTAGGCAACACTCAACCACCACCATCACCATCTACAACCCCTATGGGCTCCGTGGTGGTGGGAAAGGGGAGCCCACTGTGCCACATGCATCCCAAGATGCGCTGGTGGCACGTGACTGGCAATGGATGATCGGGGTGACACTTGTATTGAAGATGGGGCATGACCCCTGATTCTTGTGTAACACCAGTTTCGCTTGTTGTTGTGTGCCGTTGAGTAGGACCCGACTCATAGCAACCCCTCCTTGGGTTTCCGAGGTGTTATCACTACGGAAGTAGATTGCCCAGCCTTCCTTCTGAGGAGTGGCTGGTGGATTTGAACTGCTAGCCTTCTGGTTAGCAGTTAAGTACTTTAGGCACTATGCTACCAGAGCTCCTCAGTTTCACTTAGTAGCCTGGTTTTGGGAACCTAGCCATGTTGATAATTGATAATTTTCTGAATCTTCAAAGAAGGCTTTTCTGCAGAAGTAATGTTTTAAGTTGTTGTTAGTTCTGTCAAGTTGGCTGGTGCCTCATGGCAACCCCACATACAATAGGATCAGACTACTGTGATCCATAGAGTTTTCACTGGCTGAGTTTTCAGAAGTAGATTGCTAGGACTTTCTCCTTGGCACATCTTACTCTGGAAGCTCCTCTGAAATCTGTTCAGCACCGTGGCAACACAAAAGCCTCCACAGAGCAGTTTGGAGGCTGCAAAGAAGTAATCCAGGTGGTAGATAATAGTCACGCAGGCTATACGGTTGCAGTGGGAAAGCAAAGACTAGGTAGATAAATCTCCTAGGAAGAGTAAGGATTATAGAATCAGGTGCCCAAATCCTGGGGAAATAAAAACTTTCAATATCAGCTTTAAGAGAATAAACTAGGAAAGGAGATGGAATATTGTCTGTCATTGCCAAGGGAGTGGGGAAGATATGGATTTAGAATGAGTACAGATGCAGGTAGGTTCATATATTTTGTGACAAGTAGGGAAGAAGTTCTGAGGCTTCTAT